CCAGCCATGCTGAGGCTGCCTCCCACATACAGCAACTAGAAGGATGTGCAGCTATGACATACAACTATCTACTGGGGCTTTGGGGGAAAAAAAATTAAAAAAAAGGATAGTTTGAGTGACAGGATTATAGATGATTATTTTACTATCTTCTTTTTATTTAGCGATAGTTTCTAATTTTTCTGCAAATGAAATGTGTCACTTATGTAATTTTTAAAGTAAGTCAGATAATTATCAGTCTGGCTCAGTTTTTTTTTTAATTAATTAATTAATTTATTTATTTATTTTTATTTTTTTTGGCTGAGTTTTAGTATACTCTTACCTTGAGACAGGAGAACAGACAAAATGACTTCTTAAATGTCTTCAGATCTCAAGAATCTATTATTCTTTAGCCTCCTCTGATATCACACAAAAACAGTACACCTTGCTACCCTATAAGTACTTCATGATAAATGGAGACTTTTAATCTTCTCTCCTCACCAAATATGGCAGGACGTTTAAACACCCAACCTTGATGGTTCCCAAGCAAAGGAGTCATTTTAAATCTTACACTTTTGGTCACATGTTTCCCAAAAGCTCACGAGTCCTGAATGTTTTCTAGTTTTACCCACTTCCCTGTGGAGTTCCAGCCTTGAATAATGTCTTAGAGCCAAATACAGGAGGAACCATAGAAGGCTAGAAGCTATGATCATACAGTGAAGCAGCATGCCAGTCTCAGGACTCTTTCCCACCTAGCAGAGGGGCTGATCCCAGGGAAGTCAGTGCTATGAAAAGAGATCACTCTGCTCCCTGCTAGTGATCTACCATTCTCCCGTTCTAAAATCCTTATGAGAATCCTTGGCTTACTCCTCTCCATCACCCTACACTTCAATCAGTTGCCAAAAACTCTAACCATTACCTTCAGCATACTTGTCATATCTATGCCTTTCCATTTATCCCACTGCCACCATGCCAGTGCAGTCTCTTTGTTATTTGTTAACCTTCTCCCTGACCTCAGTAAAATCTTTTGCACTGGTCTCCTTGCCCCCATCTCTTTCTCTCTCTCTCTTTTTTTTTTTTTGTGAGGAAGATCAGGCCTGAGCTAACATCCATGTCAATCCTCCTCTTTTTGCCGAGGAAGACTGGCCCTGAGCTAACATCCATGCCCATCTTCCTCCACTTTACGTGGGATGCCGCCACAGCATGGCCTGACAAGCGGTGCGTCGGTGCGCGCCCGGGATCCGGGCCGGGCCGCCAGCAGCGGAGCGCGAGCACTTAACCGCTAAGCCACGGGGCAGGACCCTGCCCCCATCTCTCTGCTAACACCTTTTGGCCTAGCTCAGCCATGTTTACTTTATACTCACTCTAATCCACTCTGAGCAGGCTGCCATCTTTGCTAGAAACCCTTCAGGAATTCTCCACTTAGTTTCTAACTTTCTGTCTCGATTTTTATTGTACCCCACACCTACTCCACATTTCAGCCACCTGTTCTACTTGCAAGTCTCAGGATATTTTGCATTTTTCACCTGTGGACCTTTCCTTAGGCTCCTCCATCCATCCAGAAAGTGTGCTTCCTCCATCTCTGCCCATTGAAATTGTACTGATTATTTCAGAAGCAGGTCAAGCGCCAGCTGTTCAAATAAGTTTTCTTGTTTTCCTACCAACCTCTATATTGCCACTCCTGCGGTGTTTACCACGTTAACCTTATGTCATCATCTGTGTGTCATTATTTGTGTACTTACCTTTTCTGTCTACCAATATTTCTTAAGCACCCATGACACGTCAAAGGTAAGTATTAGGCACTTTACATGTGTCATCTAATTTAATTTAATCCTCACAACAGCCTCGTGAGATAGGTATTACCAACCCCATTTTATAGATCAGGAATCTGAGGCTGTCAGAAGTTAATTAACTTGCTCAAAGAGGCATCCTTACTAAGTGGCAGAGTCATCACTCATTCAAAAAGTATTATTCCAATCCATGTCTGCCAGATTCCCAAACCCTACGGGCTTTTCAATATAGATTGGGAGGTCTCTTTGGGGACAATTAGCACTGAAGCCTCAGGACAAGGAAGATCTGTTAAAGGCAGTTTTCTGCTCCTCTCTCATTTGATTTAGACTCATTGTGCTATAGGAAATGCTCCTTTGGCTCTCAATTAGCACTTAGCCCAGGCGAGCACAGGACTAAAGAAATGATTTATGAAGACAGACACCATACAGGATGTTTAGTTCCACTGGTGACCCTGGTTATTGTAAAACTGTGAAAGAAACACCAAGTCCTACCACAAGTTCAGCAATCTAGAACTCCCCATTCCCTGCCACCTCAGTTTAGGCCTTACGCTAAACCTCTCTGTTTCCTGACTGGATCCAGAGGGATGCCGCAGATTTCAGAAACAAGGCTGGGGCCGGCCCGTGGCTTAGCAGTTAAGTGCGCGTGCTCTGCTACTGGTGGCCAGGGTTCGGATCCCGGGCACGCACCGACACACTGCTTCTCCAGCCATGCTGAGGCCACGTCCCACATACAGCAACTAGAAGGATGTGCAACTATGACATACAACTATCTACTGGGGCTTTGGCTGGGGGGGAGAAAAAGGAGGAGGATTGGCAATAGATGTTAGCACAGAGCCGGTCTTCCTCAGCAAAAAGAGGATTAGCATGGATGTTAGCTCAGGGCTGATCTTCCTCACAAAAAAAAAAAAAGAAGAAGAAGAAGAAGAAGAAACAAGGCTGGAACAGCACTGTTGTCATTAGAGTCAGCCTTGGCCTGATAAGAGTCCCCGCCATTAACACCCAATACAGACTCACAAGAAATTCATATGAAGATTAAGAACAGAGAAGGGCTAATCTACCCTAAATTGGTTTTTCACCATTTAGGGTTGGAAGCCCCATAACTTGTTGGGTCAGTTCATATTGCCAAACGAAGAATATTATAATAATGGGTTTATTCTCTTCCTTATTGTTTTGGAGTTGAGGGTGTTCAGCGGCTGGCTACTGTTTGCTCAAGGAGAGTGTAAATAGGACTTGCTGACGCCTGAGGCCAATGAGCATGACTCCTAAGCCACTTTCACTCTGGTGTGGGGTGTAGATCTAATGGTAAAGAAGCTGAACGGGAAAGGGGGTTAGGTAACTCTAATTTGCGTTTTATTAGTATTTTCTCTTTCAATCCTCAAAGCAATCTTTTTTGAGGTAGATGTTATTGAAATACCCATTCCACAGATCCCAAAACTGAGTGGTAAGTAACAGGCAGGGACTGGAACCCTGGTACGTTGAGTTCCACAGCTTTCCGCTGCCCTAAGCTTACACTCTGTGGCAAGACCTTTTGCTTAGGCAAATGTCAGTCATTTAAAAAGGACTAAAGGCAAAATTTGTACACAAGTTAGAGTTCTCAAGTATCAATATTCTTCCCTCCTTCCAAGCCAAGATGATACGAAGTGTTTAATTTCTTAAATGTCTCACATTTTCCATAATTGACAAAGATCTCAACAAGAAGTGGGAGTTGAACTGTAAGATTCTTACCTTCTACTCGGGAGACTCTCATGTTGGATTCTTAGGCTTGAACTGGTTATCTTGGTTGGTTAGAGCACAAGCCACCAAGGCCAATAAGCCACAGTCACTGACAAAATCATCCTGTTCCCAGCCATCTTTAAAACAGGTCATAAAGTGGCGGAGTGAAAACGTAGATGGCCCAGGGCAGGGCATCATCAGGACTGAGAAAAGTTACCAAAACTCCCCCTGACGGGGGTCACTTGTGCCATATTCATGAATGAAGTCAAACATCTTCACTTACACAAAAATTCTCTCCTCTCTCCCGCACTTACTTCTTCGTGATCTGTTATGATCTGATGGTTAGGACATCTTCATGATAATATATTTCCATATGGGATGGGGTTGTTGCTAATCAGTTAACACTGACAACTCATAAAAGATATTTCAACCTCTCAAAACCTTACCCAAGTATGGCATTTTGGGTTACTTTTACAAGGCTAGACTCTTGATATATTATGAAGCCTTTCACATTTCACAGAGATAACAACTTTTATTTTGCCTTCCCCAATGCAGTTCTCGTAAATGTTTTGTTGCTGCCTCTGCCATATGGTTAAAAAAAGTTACCCAGAGCACAACAAATATTGTTATTTCAATACTATAGAAACTAAGTTTTGTGACTCCTTAATATCTTTTTGTATCCCTCCAAAAAGAATGTTCAAAAGGCATCTTTGGTTAGAAGACATCCACCACCTATTGTTTGAATTATGTTGGCAACATTTTAGAAACACCTTGAAAAAGACTAATGACATATGTCAGCAGAAGTCTAGAGAAAGAAAGTAGAGATTAGCAGAAAGTGAGATATTCCAGAACTCAAAATCTGGTCAAAGGTGGCTCATGTGCTGTCAGGTACTAAGCAAAGCGCACTGGAGGGAGGCAAAGCTATAAAAAGGATCCACATTTAGCAGGCCCACAAGGTAACTGGATGTTTAATACCGAGCGGAGAGAGAGAGGTGATGGGATCCTTCAGCCTTCTCACACATCTCCCACCTTCATACTCCTTTTTTGAAGCCATGATAAAACCACAAGGATTCCCACTTCGCTCCACTACTTTCCACTGGCCTTCATAACTCTTTTCTTTCCCCACTTCTCCCCTTTCCCACTGTCTATTTTGTCCCTGTGTACATAATCTTCTGTTTTCAACCACTTTTACGGTAATATCATCCCAGCTGGAAAACAACTCGTCTTCTTCTCCCCTCGTTCCAGAGTCCAGAGACCCAGGTGCCTCCTGGGATCCTCGGAGTTGGGACCTCTCCCCCTGAGCTCAGTAGCCCAAGCTGTGAGGATGATCGATTTCAAGAGTCCTCCAGTGGGCTGGCCTCTCCTCGACGCCAGTCTGCTCCTCTTCCCTCCCCCCATGCCTCATCCCCAAAGAAATCTAAACTCCACGGCCTCTGAAACTCTCTGCCTAGGTCCCCAAGGTCTCCGCCGGGATCCAAGATTTTTCTGACCAAAGTGGGGTCGGGTCGGGGAGGACAGTACCTCTTTGCAGGCGTGAAGCTCCGGTCCCGCTCCCTGGGTCACCTGGAAGGCGGTCTCAACCCAGAGCAGCAGCCACAGAAGCCGGAGCGTGCGCCGCTCAGTTCTTCCCCTGCCTACGGCAGAGGGATGGAGGCTGTACCCAGGCTCAGCCATAGCGTTGTCCTGAGCGAGCGGCAGCGGCGGCTCAGGTGCTGTGGCTGCTGCTACTGCTGGCAGAAGGCGGAAAAAAAGGGGAGGGAGGTTCACAGGGGGAGGATGCAAGGGGCTGGGCTCGCTTCAGTCACCTCCCTGCGGCTACGCCAAGGCCGCCCATCCTTGCTTCTCCCTCCTTCCTCTTCTCCTCCTACCCACGTCGCCTTGGCAACCGCCTCCTCTTCCCCTCCCCGCGGGTGGGGCAGGGACCACGCGCTCCTCCGCCGCTCACCTGCCGGTCGCCATGGCAGCCACTGCCGCTGGCGCGCGCCGTGTGGGAGTGCGCGCGCCTGGGGTCTGCAACCGGCCCAACAGGCGACCACAAGGCACGTGTAAAGAACGCGGTGGAAACATCCTCCAAGCCTTCGCCACCAAATTCATGTTTTCCACTGCCCTTTCGGGCCACAGGCTATTTATGAGCATCCCTAATTTTGTAGACATGGCGTTCGATAAATACTTATTAAGCTCCTCTTGTGTGTGAAGCGATAGAAATATGATTGAGAGGCCGTCTCTCCTCTAGAAGTTATAGCCTAGAAGAGGGGCCCCGGTAGACGTTACGGCAACACACGCTTCTGGAGATCTTGCTTGCATCCCGCCAAATCCATCCGTGCCTTTACAACCGGCTCTATGCGAGGCCTTGAGACTCGTATAGTTAAACTGAGTTTAAGCATGGAGAGTTTGCCTTAGCTGGCAATTTTCCAAGCACAACACGTGGGCTCTTCTGTCTCTTGACATCTCATTCTCTCATAGCTTTGAAAAATCCTTTTGTTAGATGCGAGGGAGAAGGAAAATTCTAGGTCATCTTTTAGAACTTTTTCCTCAATTGAAGTCTTTTGCAGAAGACTGCACTCCGGGAGGCCCGCGTTTTTCAACCAAGGCTCAGGAGTGCAAATCCAGGGCTCCTTGGTACGCTCGGCGGCGCTTTGCCTCCGCATTCCCAGTAGCTTCCTCCCGAGGGGCCTCCCGCATTGGACCGCCAGGTGGCGCCCTTCTCGAAGGGACTTCACCTCAGTCACAGATGGCAGGGCAGTTACCTGGCAACCGAAACTGGGCGTTCCAAACAACTGGGACCCGGGATCCTCCACGTGCAAAGTTTCGTGCGGCTGCGCGGGCCTCTCATCCCTCATAAGAGCGTCTCTCTCGGCATTTTACCATGCCTCCCACCCGAGACCCTTTCCAGCGCCCTACATTGGATAACGATGATTCCTACTTGGGAAAACTGCGGACTTCCAAGGTACTGTGGTTTCTTGCACAGATTCTCAGCAGTGTCGACGGCAGTCTTCTATCTGGCGGCATGAGGAGCAGAGGCGCTAACTTGAAGGACTGTGGTGAAGGCACTGAGTCAGATAACGGAGGAGTCTGATTTCCGCCTGTCTGCATGTTCCCATATTCGGATCTGCTAATGTTTTAGAGGTGCTTTTGAGCAGAGGGAAGTAGAGCTCTAGTCCAGAGGAACAAGGGGGTCTCTCTACCCAAAGCAGTGATTGGTATAAAGAAGCTTAAACAGGCCCAGGATCCACCCAGCCACCCTTTGCCCTGTTTGGAAAACTATTCTCTGAAGAGATATGAGATACGGAGTAGGAGAGAATCCTCTGAAAGCTACCAGAGCACACTTTATACATGTCTTCACACCGTCTCTGTCTTCTGGTTAAGCTGGAATGTGTTTCTGTATGTGTGTCAGTGATTTGAGAATTTAAATGATCTTTTTTCTTTGGGCCGGCCCTGTGGCTTAGCAGTTAAGTGCGCGCACTCCATTACTGGCGGCCAGGGCCCGGATCCCGGGCGCACTGACGCACTGCTTCTCCGGCCATGCTGAGGCCACGTCCCACATACAGCAACTAGAAGGATGTGCAGCTGTGACATACAACTATCTACTGGGGCTTGGGGCAAAAAAAAGGAGGAGGATTGGCAATAGATGTTAGCTCTGAGCCAGTCTTCCTCGGCAAAAAAAGAGGAGGATTAGCATGGATGTTAGCTCAGGGCTGATCTCCCTCACAAAAAAAATAAATAAATAAAAAATAAATGATCTTTTTTCCGGTAGAAGTATTTAAGATGTTTGAAGTGCAAAATAAGGTGGATTAAATGGTAATTGTGGCTTAATAAAATCAAAGTTTCCTTTTGTTTATTCAACATTTATTATTTACTGTATGCCAGGCCCTCTGCTAAACACTGAGGATATATAGATAAGTTAGGTGTAGCTCCCGCTCTCAAGGAACTCTGGAAGAAAAGCCAGACTAAGAAGAGCAACAGTAAAAGTGCTTACACAATAGCACATGTATTGTGACAGAGTTATATGTAGTGTGTCGTGAGAACTGGGAGCTTAAAGGACAGCTTCCCAGAGCAGATGGGCCAGGTGAGGGAGGAGGTGGAATGTGAGTTAGGAAGAAGGAAACAGGAACCAGATATTTAAGGCAAAGGAAGCAGCAGGTGCACGTACACGGAAAGGAGAATGAGGGTGGCCTGCGGGGGCCAAAGACTCTAGAATGGCTGGAGCATTGGTGTGAGATGGAGGAGTGAAGAGAGCAGGAGCTGGACAAGTGATCCTGTTGGCTGGGTGTGCTGTGTACACCATGCTAGTGAGCTAGGATTTCACCCTGGAAGTGCTGGGGAATCAACTTGGGACTTTAAGCACTGGAATGACATACTAGATGGGTATTTTAGAAAACACAAATGGCAGTGGATTGGATAGATGGGAGTGGGACAAGAGGGATCTGCTGGAGGCTGGTGCAGCAATCTCCAGAAGGAAAAGTAATGGGTCTAAAGCAGTGATGCAGGGGATGGCGATAAGATGCAAGAGGCAGAACTGATGGGACTTCATGGCTGACTGAATATGGCCCCAAGAGACAAGACAGTCTAGGATAACTCCAAAGTTTCTGAGGGCTTAATTGATGCCATTTACTGAATGAGGCATTCAGGGAAAGCAGGTTTATGGAGAAAGATGTTGAGATCAATTATATAGATGTTGCTTTTGTGGTGCCTATGGGACATTTAAGTGGAGTAGGCAACATGGTTGAGAGTTGTGGGTTGGAGATGTACATCTGGAAGCCACAGTATTCATATGGTGGTTGAAGCCATGGGAGGGAATGAGCTCATCCAGTGAATGTGAGAGTAAGAAAAGCAGAAAGTAAACCCCTGGAGAATAGCACTGTCTAAGGGGCAGAGAGAGAAAGCAGAGCTGAGAAGGAAGCTGAGAAGTGACAGCCAGAGACAGGAGGAAAACCAAGAGGAGCTGGACCCCCAGAGGATGCAGAGAACATTTCATGGAATCAGAATCATGGTGCCCGAAACAGCAGAGGTCAAATAAGATTAGCTCTGGAAAGGATCTACCTGACGTGGCCAGAAAGATCATTGGTCACCAGCAAGAGCAGTTTCAGTGGGTGCTTGAGGCAGAGGCCAGATTGCAGTGGGCTGAAGAGGGGATGGGAATGGGGAAGAAGTGGAGATGGTAAATGTTGACTCGTAAAGAAGCCTGGCTCTGTAGGGAAGGTGACAGAGTGGTAGCAGTGATGAAGGAATGAGAGAGAAGCTGGGTCCAGGGGATGCCAGAATGGTGCAGGTCTCTGAAACACAACAAAGGGCTGGGTTCAGGGAAGAAAGTTTATTCCTGAGTAAAAGGGACTTCCCTTTCTTTGAGATGGAAGGAAAGTGGATGTGAAGATGGCATTCGTGCTTAACAGTCTTGACTTTTTCAGTGAGACAATCTCATCTTCTGCTGATAGAGAGATGATGAGACTTATGTAGCCTTTGGGGAATGGGAGGAGAGCTGCCTATGCTTGCATCATGTATATTTGTAGTTTTCTTGTTTCATTTTTCTTGGTGATAGCACAGTGCCTGGTACATACTGTTCAATTAATGTCTAACTGAGCTGAGTCATACAGCACTTTGCCATATACAGGGGGAGGGGTTGAATCCAACATAGGCTGAATGAGATTTCTACTAGTTTGTAGTTGTACTCACTGGAATTCAGTCATTGATTCAACCAATATTTCATTTTTATTTATTTATTTATTTATTTTTAATATTTTTCTTTTTCTTTTTTTTTTTAATTTATTTTTTTGTGAGGAAGATCAGCCTTGAGCTAACATCCATGCTAATCCTCCTCTTTTTGCTGAGGAAGACTGGCTCTGAGCTAACATCTATTGCCAATCCTCCTCCTTTTTTTCCCCAAAGCCCCAGTAGATAGTTGCGTGTCATAGTTGCACATCCTTCTAGTTGCTGTATGTGGGACGCAGCCTCAGCATGGCAGGAGAAGTGGTGCGTCGGTGCGCGCCCAGGATCCGAACCCCGGCCGCCAGTAGCAGAGCGTGCGCACTTAACCGCTAAGCCACTGGGCCCACCCAATATTTCATTTTTAAACACCGTGTGTATCATGTGTCAGGTCGCTGTGCTAGGTCCTGGGGATACAGTGGCAAACAATATGGCATTTTACACGTGATGAAGAAATCAGTTATGTATTTTTCACATTTATGCTTGTGGGGTTTTATTTAGGGGATTCAATGGCCAATGGACTTTTTCTTTGACATTCCTGTGGTCACGATGACCCTTCTCTGCTTACTGAAATCCTTTTCTCTCCCGCTCAGACACTGCACTCTCCTGATTCTCCTGTCTCTGATTGCCTTAGTGTCCTGTCCCTTCCTCTTCCCTCCCTCGTTATAATAGTGTGCAGTCCTCATGAACCACCTCTTCCCTTTTGGCCAGACTCCTTTTTGCAGGCTTCAACCACTACCTCATGTGGACCCCCAGATCTCTATTACTTGTCCTGAGCTCTCCTCCAACAATTGCACACTTCCAATTTTCTACCTGTTAATTGCCTTGGGATGTCTTATCTTTTCTTCAAACTCAGGACATGTAAACCTGAGCTCATCATCTTTCCTATCTGCTCCCCACCCTTCACTCCACCCTTTTCCCTGTATTCCTGGCCCATTTCTGCCAGTTCTGAGATTGAAAACTTAGGAGGATCAAAAGCCTGAGAGTCTTGCCCCATATCGTTCTTCTCTTTGCAGATGTCTCTCTGAGATTCAATTAAAATAGGATGGAATATGGGGCCGGTCCCATGGCGTAGCAGTTAAGTGCGCAGGCTCCGCTGCTGGCCGCCGGGGTTCGGATCCCGGGTGAGCACCGACGCACCGCTTGTCAGGCCATGCTGTGGCGGCGTCCCACATAAAGTGGAGGAAGATCTGTACAGATGTTAGCTCAGGGCCAGTCTTCCCCAGCAAAATGAGGAGGACTGGCATGGATGTTAGCTCAGGGCTGATCT